CGTATTCAAGGTTATTAAAAAAACACACGWGTAATTACCTAGTTTTTGCCAGTTTGGTCACCTCTACACTTCTGAGTTCCAATGTTCCATGAAAGTTAATTGTTAGTTAGTAACTAACAAAAAGCAGCGAAAAAAGCTTTATGAAGACGATATCCAACTAAGCGGGAAACYGCATTTCTAATGTTTAAGTGTCATTGGCGTCAGTTTATTGTTTAAGCGAGTTTTGCTTTGTTAGCTTATCAGCGGAAAGTGAGGGCGCGTCTGAATGAGACTTYTATTCAAAGTGTTTTGTTGCCTAGGGTGCAGAGGAAACACAGGAAGATTTTTTATAAAAACATTACTGATTAAAGTCAAAGTTTTACTCACGTCGTGCTTAAAAGCTTCGTTAGCAAAATACTCTTTCACATTGACATCACGGTGTATTTACGTGGGGAAAGGACTCGAATTTAGAAATATTGGTTATTCAATTCGACACCTCTAACTTTACATTTTCGAGTTTTCAAATGATTGCCTGGCATTATTTGTAGTGTTTTGGTATCATTAGTGTCAATTCCTTTTTATCGTGTTTTTTCTTTTTCTGTCCCCCACCTGGCGACCATRATTGTTACCSTTCAAAYGATCGAATGCTGTGATGTACGTCATAGTGAAATGGAGCAATGAACTCAATTCAAGTGTAATGTAAGTTAACATAATGCTTTTTTTTCAAGGGGAAATAACAATACGTCAAAAGTAATGTAATGTATCAGAATCAAGTGTCAATTAAGAAGAAAAGGGAAATACATTATTTATTTTTTCCTGTAAAATATACCTGATTAAATAATGTTTTCGCTTCATTTAATCTGCTAACAATAAGCTGATCGGAAACTTTCAAAGCTCGCCCACTGTGTTCTAGAGACGCCTACTTACATCTTGTTTTCGATAAGTTTAATACGATAAGTGTAACCCTTGATCATGACAACCAAATAACAGACTGCCCTCTTCAAAACGGTTCTTGTGGTAGCTAACGATGATGTACTCGGGGTCAGATGATTCGAAGATAATGCTATGACACGAGATAGATGGACATTTTTACTCAATTAATTTCTAAATGTAAAAACTATTATTTGAATAAACAACCACAACCCCAAGTTACTGGCACTGGCTTGCTGTGTTAAGCATCAATGGGGGATCCGGGGGATGATTCGCCTTAGCCTTTGTAACGTTCTTGATCCGGCACTGTACAGTATATTCGGTCCTAGCGCCAAATTGGTCTGCTCTACTCCTTTCTTCCCTTCATCTATTATGGGTCACTCAATTATAATTCTTTCAACCTCGAATCTCTTTTAGCTTCATCAATTAGACATGTTTTTGCTTATACATGCGCTTCCTGTAAGCCTGAGCGTTAATTCTTTGGTTTTCCTGATGAATCGTTCTCTTTATTTGTGATTTTTACAAGCAACATTATATTGTATTACTTTCAGTTAAGTGCAGTCATTTCCTTTTAAACTAATATGCTCTATAATTTGTAATAGAAGCAGCTTGAATGGTTTGTAAGTTACTATGCTCAGCTGTCGCTAGGATAAGTGGACTATGCAAATAACAAACCCATTAACGTCGCTCATCCAAATACAATAACAGATTAATCTACTATATCTTGTAAAATATCTTGTAAACAATTTTGGCGAGGAAACCGAATCACGTGACCTGACGGACTACTAAACATTTGCCTCAGCAACACATTTTCCATCGCTCTCATTGGCCGAGAGTTGACCACGTGACGGGATAGTGCCCGCCGCGAAGGGTATAGTATCAATGCATAGAGCTCTCTGGTTTTTCTCGCAGTAGTCCTTGGAAGTTGGATGTTAATTTGCGTTAACCTTTAGGACTAAGTAAGATATAATCAAGGATGAAATATACATACTGGCAATGAGTATCCCACAGTTCCTTGCTTAGTCAAAATTACCGGAAGCCGCATGCATGCTTTCCCGCACATTTGTCCCAACTGCGGACACACAAGAGAACCACTTGAAAGTCGGTTCCCACACATGGATCCGCAACTCGTTTACCTCTACGTTTTGCTAGCACGCCTTCTAATTGTTTTTTAATTGTTGGTGAGGCGGAAACTTCAAAGAAGGACATCTACGCGTTGCATTTGATGGTTTATTATTATATATTTGATGAGTCATATACAATTTAAGTGCTTGTTTTAACTTAAACAGAATCGATAGACAATCTTGCTATTAAATATGTAGACTAAAAGTTAATAAACAAAAAAGCACCAAAACTCATTTCTATGAAATTTACTAGAATATGATTTAATAGGTCTTAATAGAATATCTAATTGCTTTAATAAATATCATTAAGTGTTATGGGCGCAACCATAGTTACTTACTAATACTATGTTGCAACACAGTGCAGCTCATAGTATGTTCAACTTTCGCCGAATTTAACAAGAATCTGTGGAAATGAGTAGCAAAACCAGCGAGTTTACTACCTTTGCACGGCAATTTAACAGAGTGCAGAAAATGTAGGCGCATAAAACTGTCAGCCATGAAATTTAAATTTGATGTAACCATTTCTGCCGAGGGCGAGAAAAATGTTTTTTAATTGCTGTTTCTAGAAAAAAATGGTTGCATTAATTTATTCCAAATTATCATAAATTGCTTTTGAGTTAGTGAATCCAAAACACATTCCGGTTCTCCTCTAAGTGGAACTTAATTTTCATGTGTGGTACCGGCCGTCATGATACGGTGAAAATTTGCTGATTCAAACTCGTGGCATTCAACTGCGAATCTAAATTCACAGTAAGTGCTTGGGAAGGACATGGTTCAGGAGGAAGGATGCATTTAAAGCCTAATATATACAAGCACAGCTTATCTAAACATTTGGAAAAAGTTTTCCTTTACGTCCAGCGTAGATGGTCAACTGATTAAATATGCTTTGAAAAGATTTTTTGCCGAAATCAGCTATTGGAAAACTTTTGAATTATATTACTCAACATCATTTGCCTCGAGTAAAGATGTTACCTTATAGTCACATTTTCGTCGTTTTTGTGCACCCCTTGTAAAATGCTTTTGGTGGGCATGGACTTTTATTATCTATGCCTTTTGCTATTGACTATTACTACTTTTTACTCAACAAAATTGAGTAATAGTTAGTCACTGTCTACTCTGTTTAAAGCGAAATATGCTTGCATGCTGGTTTGCCGGCCATGAACTCCGAGAGAAGAGCATCCCCGTACTTTTACACCGGAGTTCCCCCCTCCGGAGGTAGCCCTAATGTTAGCCGAAGGGTTGCAATCTTGGTTTAACGTTCTATTACGTTTAGGAGGATGATTGCATAGCCGCGGTAATTCCAATCCTGAAGTTATGACCAATGCTATAGAAACAATGGATGAATCTGTTTTAAGCTTAACTTCTTTCTACATGTTGGACACTTGTTTTGGTTCTTTATTGCATTTCGTATGCATTTGTCGCAGAAGACATGACCACAAATTGTCGAGTTCAATTGTCTTTTTCTTCTCTTTAACTGTTGAACAAAAGAAGCCATTAGTTGGTTGGAAGGTCGAAAATACTTTACGGTCAGCTGTACAGGAGGGATCTCAGGTCTGTTGGACCAGGATTTAGTTTTGTTACAAGAAATGGCATGRTATGATTACAACATTGTACTTACCACATTTACATCATCCAAACAAATTGGACAGCTTATTACACTTTTACTTGTGTCATCATTTGGATTAGTATTGCTTTGTTTATCAATATTACTGCAATAAAACCAAGATTATCAACCATCATCATTAAATACACATCTTTACAAAACATTTACAAACTCCTAATTGCTACAATGTTGTTACAGAGAAAGACATTTTGAACATTAATTGTACTTTTAGAAAAAAACGAATAATACATTGTCTAAAAAATTCCTATGAAAACATCTTTGCAATTACACATACATATTTAACATAGCAATTTCCAAAACTATTGAAAAGTGATACTGAATAGAGTATTCCTAGACAGAACAGCATTATAGCTTGTTATTTTGACACTAAAAATGGTTTCAGTAATCAGACTTCAAATCATGTTGTACTTACTTTGATGAAGATGGATTGATTTGGACTACATCACCATCATTTGCTGCTGATTCAAACCTACAGGAAGGTCTTTGCGGAAAAGATGGCCTTTGAAAAATCTTATTTACACTCTGAATACAAAAAGACAATGCAACAGTTACTATAACTATATTGAAAGGATAAAACTAAAAAARGGATAATTTCTAAAGTCTTAGTTTTCTATAAAGAAATACGAAATATAAGTTTGGCGAGGTACTGMTTGAAGTTTAATAGAAAGTTTTAGATGTGCATTTACGGCGAACACCAAACATCAAAACTAATCACGTGATKACTGTTTTTCTGTATTAACGCCCCGTTCTTTCGCGATTGGGTATAAAARAGATCATTTTTTTGTGTATAAGGGCATGACTATTCCACTCGTAACGTTTTWACGTTTGTTTGAAATTTTGAGACAAAGCATAAAATCCAATTTGACGCTTGCAGTAAACGTGAATCTAAAACTCTCTAAGAGCTCCTCTAATAATTCGTCTGAGCTTTCACTATCTATAGTATTTTCAGAGACAAGTGAATCTATGTTAAATATTAATAATTACAATTTAACATAGATTCACKTATCTCTGACGATGCTGTAGACAGTGAAATCTCAGACCAATTGCCAATATTAAACTCAATCAGTAATATTCACCATGTGGCTTAAGGAAAACTTTCAATAATTGTTTTCTACTAAGAGCTTGCAAGTCATACATACAATTATAACAGGASTCGAGTCAAAATGGTCTTCAGTAAGGTCTACCACATCATTATTATATGTTGGGGAGCTTGGTTCTGCTGTTAGATCAACTACATCTGAGAGTCCTACTGCAATCACAAGTATTAAATACAGTCACATTAACTTAAGAATTGTATCAAATGAGGCCTTGGCTGCTATTTGTATGAAGTTGATATACGACTTCAAGCATTTGCTGTCTACAGCTTCTTCAGTAATTTCTTCTATTTGTAAAATTAAAGTAATGTCATTTATAAAACTAAGGCAATACACAATAGAAATCATAGCCCTTGAAGAGAGTTGTATATTGCATACAGATTCTTGTTCATCTGCATAAATTTAAACTGATTTTCTCGGTCAGATTGAATTTTTTTTKATTGAAACCTGAGCAAGTTGACCTCAACGTTTCAGCTCGCTGTTTTAAATCCTCATACAGATTGCCCGCTCATATTGTATATATATATTACGTATTCCCTTACAGTTATATTGATTTCTAGCAATAAACTCTGCAAGCACCATGAAATTACTACAGTAGTAACTAGTTACTAGTCACTTACTATAGGTCACTATTACTGTAATTTGATTCCACCTTGTTCAAGATAATATTGATTCAATCTTATAACAATTCTCTTTGCGAGCTGTTTACAAATGATCTGCATGCAAAGTGCAAACAGAGTAAAAACAATTACCGGTATATGTCATTATACATCATGACTTCTTTTGTTTYGGGCTGATCACATTTATTTTACTCAAGCAGGTTAAGGTCTGCCCATGTATTAAGAAATATACTTTTCTGCAGTGTTTTGAAGAGAAAACCCAATGGATTTATCATAATAGAAATAACCTTTTAAGGTGTTCAAAAGGTGTTCTTGGTCATCAACTTGTCGTGATCAYGTGGGACCAATTAAAGCAGAAAAAAAGTTATCTTAAAATGTGTTCCCAAGTTTCAAAGCAACAAGATGTGGAACAAGGATTGTTTACCAAAGGTGTTTTCAAATCAGCTTGGACAACCTGCCTTGGACTTGTCTTCTAGGAGATATTCTTTTAYATGCTAAGAATAGTCAAAAATATCTTCATAAAGATAAATATACATTCCAATTTTTCAAACGGCAACTTGTTTCTGGTGGTCAAGCAATGATATTCATGTGCATAACAATTGTGCAAAATTCGCAGCTGCATAATTTCAATTTTTCTATTTTCCTCTGCTATGACATCATAGACTACATGATTATTCCTTAGACAACGAGAAATTGCTAAGGGTTGCTAACCTAGCTAAATGTGTAAATATGAAGAAGAATGGATGAATTAACTTTATAATTAATTTTATGATGAAAATAATTATGAACTAGACGCATACATGTAGCTGCGTGAACTGGGAGTTCTTATTGATAAAAATCTAGTACTGTAGTGAATCCAAAAGATTAATATTCATCGTAAATTGTTATATTGATAAAGTTTGTACACTTTCGTAGTTTCTTTGGTAAGGCTCGTTTACACTTGAGAATGTTGCAGTGCATCAAATATGTTTAAGAGAACGAAAACAYTACTCATGCATAGCAGGCATAGTGCAATAGTGCATAGTTCCAATAAATATCACCCTTAATTTACTTAATGTGGAGTTTATCTTTTGTATAATTATCGAATTAATTTTGCCATTATTATCACTTGTTGACATCTTTTCAGTTTGTATAATTATTTAAATCTTTGGCTGCAAGCTGCGTCCTCACTTTGATAGCAGGGGATAGCAGTCACATGGAAGGCTATAAACACTGAGTTTTTTATCTTCTCTGATAAATAAAATACTTCCAATCGTCGCTTTGTCCTTGGTAGAATTCTGTTTGTATTCCTTAGATAAGTCCTTTGTAGTTTCAGAGCCTGTATATGCTAGTAAGACAATTCTCGATAGACYGCTATCGATAGACAGCAAAATAAGCTTAAACTTCACTAAGTTTTACGATAAATTCATGGTATCTCTCCAAATGCCCTTTCGAAAAACRCTCAACATTTTTTAGTGTGACTATACCGCGAATGGTGTTTTGGATTTGTAAGTGATTTGAGCATATTTGAAGTTAAAATCCATGTCTTTCGATCATCTCGTGTACACTCGCCACCATAAAGATATRATAACATTCGTACCCAGTGCCTTCTAGTTTGGCCGAGACAATTTGTGAACCAAAGACGACGACGACAAAGACGGCCGAAATTTAAACTCACGGTTCCTTTGGAACCCCGAGTAATAACACATCACTTCTATCTGATATAGAACTGATTTTTAATAAAACATCAGTGCTTTATCAGGATTTAAAGGCCCATCATGTGACACAATTGTTCGATACTCAATGGATTAACTAATAGCTCAGGAATTATTAATGAATTCTAGAGGGCATTTAAAACTGCAAGCTGTAGAAGCCCATAAAGGTCACACATGAATATTTTATATTGCTTATCAAATTCCAACACAAGCAAAAGCATATTTAGCCAAAAAAGGCAAGAAAAGTCAAAGTCATATGCAAATCAGGACWATTCTCTTGCTCATATAAAGATGCTGTCACGGCACTGATTTACCATGATTGTGTTTACCTTATAAATTCTTAATGAATATGATAATGCTATAATAAAAGTATTTTTTTATCATCATGATGCACACTTATGAATTACAGTATATTTTTGCAGTATACAATACCTCGAGGGTTTGAAGGTGTACTTAAATCAATAACTTCTGGTTGATTTGATAAAACTATTGATGACAGACATTGATCTCGATTAGGAAGAACAGCTGTCTGCACTGTTGAATCTATGGGATCTCTAATATCTAATGAATCAGAACTACTGCATGGACTATCCACATCATTCAAACACAATCTTGACCTCTTTGTTATCTGAAATCAAAATCAAAATATGGTCATGTAAATGTAACCCAGAATTATGATGCCATATTGTGATGCAAAGTGTGAAGGCTACCACATATATCTTGGACATAAATGTTGACAATTTTGATGCATGCACCACCCTGGGGGGAGGAGGGGGGGGGGGTACTCGACCCCATTTTGGATAGGTACGTGCCGCCAGTGGTCAAATCCCTGACCCTGTTTAAGACACTAGAAAGTGAAAATCCATACCCTGTTCAAGACAAATCGGAAAAATAAGGTATAGCAATCTGCACTGCAACCATCAAAAGTGCAATTATACTGACATCCATCAAAGACAATAAGAAATTTTTGATAACACGTTAATCCTGGGACAGTGAAACGGTATTGTTATTATTTCTACGGTATTTCTTATGAAAATATTACCCTGTCTAAGAYACACAAAAAAATATATCGGTCTTTTATCTAAATTGTAGGGCCTGTTTAAGACAATTTCGGGTGAAATGTATACCCTGTTTAAGACAGCAAGGCCAAAAACCATACCCTGGCCAGCGGCACGTCCCCGTATAGCAAATATATGGGAGTGCCCCCCTGGGATGCACCATTGTCAATTAAACCTTCTTTGTGCCCCCTTTCCCCCAATACAGTGTTGTGTGACTTTCTTTTCATTTGCTATCCATTTATTAATCTGCACTTGCCATATTGATGCATTTATATACATCCATTATCTCCCTGGTTAGTGAGTCTAGTGCTGCATTATTTACATGAGAATGTACTGGACCCTTAAGTGCATTTGCATTTGTAGCCACAAAAATGGACTTTCACAAATTTAATGTAATTCCATAATTATTGCCAAGGTAATCCCAAAATTGACTGACTGGAAAAGTGAAGGACTTCATGTAAACAGGGCCTGGACCTATTATGTTTCCAAAGCTTGGAGCATCTAGTGGTAGAGTCATTTGAATGCTACGACTCTGGATTGTATGGTGAGCCATGCCCAACATGTTACATTGTTTTAATTGGCCTTAAGACCAAAGTTAYATTAGAGGAATTGTTGACACATGAATACTTTAGATAAAAATGATCAAGTATTAACTCTACCTGGGGTGAATCTGCTTCATCCGAACTCCCTCCACCGTCGAATAAATCAACACTCAATTTTATTGCGTTCAATTCACCGCGGCTATCATCTAATTCTAGACTGGTATCAGTGCTTTGTTGGTCAGCCTGAAACTGTTCTTTCTCCTCCTCTAGTAATTTCGTGGGATCTTCCTCACTATCTTCTCGCAACGAATCATATTTTCTTTTCTGCTAAAGATAAACAAATGAAGAAATTGAACAAGGCTGATATTGTAACAAAAAACTTAAATCACTTTAAGAAGGTTTAACTTAAAACCTATTAACTTAATTTTTTTAAATAGCGATTCATAAACATGCACGGGCTTCATCATGGTTAAGCTTATTGTCTGCCAAAAAGCACAAACTAGACCTACTCCAGACATTGTAGAAAATAGAGGGTAGCATCAAAGAATCATTGTAGAGGTTCAAAAACTACTTCCATGCGTTTTTCTTGTTAAACGATAAATGACAAAATAAAGAACAAATGCTGACTGTTGCTGACTAAACAACATTGCTACTACGCATGCGCAAAGAAGAACGTTGGTTTGGATTGCCTGTGYCCTTAGATAATGMGATGGCGATGCTTAGAAGCATTTTTAGCTTTACATTAAGATCAGGCTCTTTCACTAGTATTTAYGAGGCTACAAGGACCTTAGCAAACAAGAGAAGTCCTAAAATCTTCTATAGTACTTCTGTTTTCACTGGCAAGAAAGGAACAATGGACCTGTCTGGAATCTACCCACCAATAGTAACCCCCTTTGACAAAAATGAAGACATCGATTATCAGGCATTACAGAAAAACTTTGAAAAGTGGAATAAGATTCCTTTCAAAGGTAAAACATTGAAATGAAAGTGAAATACAATTAACMTAATTTATATGATGCAAAACTTATCTAGTTGAAATGAGGAGGGGGGACCAAACATTTTGTGCACATAAAAAGGGGGGACCAAATAAAATTCTGCAATATCAATACCAGAAAAATTGACTTTTTATCTTCATAAAAAACTGTGATACAAAAGGCTCGATCTCAATCAAAACAAACAGTATGACAAGTGTTAAAGTATTTCCTACTCTACTTTTCCTACTCACTGTCACTTGCATCTCCTTGTGCATCACATGGTATATATGGATGGTATTCTTCAAACCTTCTGCAAGCACTGTGAGCAATCATCCTGGTTTTCTCCAGGTTTTATACCCAGAGCCTGCATTACTTTTGAGCCTGTGCAGTAAGAGGGACAGGCAGTAAGAGGGACAGGCAGTAAGAGGGACAGGGGCGCTGAGTATGAGATTGGTTTGAGCATCTCTTTTCTCCTTTCTTCTTTTAAACTTCTTTTGTTTTCTTTCTGTGCTCTTTTTTTCTGATTTGTTTAGAATAAAACCTTAGAATATATCCTGGCAAAGTTCTAGCAATTCCAGTTTAACATTGAGCATTCCTTTAGCCTCTGCCACTTTAACTTGAATATCTAAGATCTTTCAGATGACTGATTCATCATATAGTCCTCTGTAGAGCAATTCTGACCAAATAGAACTTGCATTCTTTTGAAAAGTGTCCCTTAAAATTGTTKCTTAATTGATTCTAGTACTTTGTGGATACCAGCTTCAAGACTATCTACTCTGCAAGTTGTTCTTTAAAGTAATTCGGTCTGATGGCACCAGTGTACATTCYCCATTTAAATATTTGGGAGGGGGCAATAAAAAGTGTGTCCCTAATAAAGGGGGGACTTAAAGTTTTTGMGAAGCTTATTTCTTGTTTCCACCAGTTAGTAGGTAGTAGTGGACTTACTATGATGATGTTAAAGTGCCTATGAAATGACACCTGACAAAAAATTTTCTGATTCTCTGTGAGCTGATTTTATATAAAGTAAATAATTGAACGGTGAAATATTTCTGCATTTCAGCGTTGCGTCTTGAGTTTTGAAGGTTTAATCTTCCAATATGCTAATGATAATGACGTCAAGGGAGGCTTCATTAAATATACGAACTTTGAAACAGTCGCTCAAAAATGTTTTCATGAATGCCATCTAGTAATATGGTTATTCCCTACATTGCATACAATAAATTTAATGCCATGAAACCATTTTTAAGCGACTACTGCAAAGTTCGTATATCTAATGAAGCCTTCTTTGACGTCATTTTCATTAACATATTATAAGATTGAACCTTCATAACTCAGACGCAACACTGAAATGCAGGAATATTTCACCATTCAATTATTTATTTTGCGTAGAATCAGCTCACAAAGAATCAGAAATTTTCCTGTCAGGTGTCATAGGCACTTTAAGACTCTGATAAATCTATTAAAGTTTGCCCACTTTTATGGCCAAAAATAATTTGTGCAATGTTTAAACAGAGTTCATATTTGACAGGATATGTTGTACAAGGTTCCAATGGTGAATATGCATATATGCGACCTGAGGAAAAAATTGATCTTGTCAAAAAAGTGAGACAACTTACCACTGATGATAAAATCATACTTGCTGGATCTGGATGTGAAGGTGTGGATACTTTGAAACCTGTTTGCAGGCTGATATCTCACAGAAAAAATGGTCTGCATGCGGGGTATACAAAGTTTACATTTTATACATAGAAAATTCCATTTTACCGAACAATGATTTTAACTCCAACTTTCTTTATGTAAACTTCTGTTTAGCAACAAGGGATACCATTGAAATGACAAGAAAAATGGCACAAGTAGGAGCAGATGCTGCTCTTGTTGTAACACCATGTTTTTATAAAGGGAGTATGACTGCTGAAGCACTAGAACAACATTACATTAAAGTAAGAAACATTGTCAGAGATGACAGACATTCACAAATATTACCCAAAGGACTTTTTCCCCTAAAAAATTTCTTAATAAATTTGAAACTCAATAGTGCACTTTTATGGTTTGTTCTCTATTAAAGTAACCAGAAATGTAATCTGTGTAAGATTTATATGTAAATTAAACACATGCTTTTATTGCATCAGTCGAGGGTGGTCTTTTACGGGAGAGGAAAAACAATGAAAAATTCTACAAATTCAATCTCAAAGGTGGTTGCGGTCGCCTACAAGAGTGGTCGCCTACAAGAGAGTTTTTTTTACAGAGTTTATATGGGAAACAAAATACGAAATTTAAAAGGTGGTTGTTTACGGGAGATGGTCGCTTACGAGAGTGGTTGTTCAAATAGAGTTAACCGTATTGGTGCTTTGTTCTATAATTCATTCATTGCACTCATCCATCTATAGTGCTTTGTATTATGTTGCTTTGAGACCCTTTGAAAATAATATGCCCTCCATTACATACTATTTGTATTTAGGTAGCTGATAGTTCACCAGTTCCTGTAATACTGTATAGTGTGCCTGGAAATACAGGAATAGACTTGCCTGCTGATGTGGTTATTAAACTATCAGTACATCCAAATATAATAGGAGTCAAAGATAGTGGAGGAGATGTAAGAATCAAATATCTTTTTCTACATAATGCTTCAAGCACACATTTGAGAGTTGAAAAATGATGAGAACATGGTTTATCCCCATTAGTTATTCATTTGCTTTAGGGGATGGGCAGCATTCATTATTTATTGGGAGGGGTAATCCATCCAAACAAAATCCATGTTAGAGGGGGAGGGGTGTGTGTGTTAGAGCGTGCAAAATTATTATCCTAAATTACTTGTGTATTGAATACAGCATTTCTTAAGAATCAGGAGAGTGGGGGTTGTATTAATAAGACATGGACAAGGTGGGTCATTTGAAATTTTTTTAGCCAACTATAGAGGGGGTCCATATTAATTTGTTATTTCAAGAAAATTTCAAAAACAACCAGACCCCCCTTCCTGATAAAAAATGAATGGTCCCTTATAAAAAATAACTGAGAGAGATGTCTTCCAACTGAAGACATTGTAATTAGTTAAAATGTTATTATGACCCCTAAACTAAAACCTTCTTTAAGTATTTAGTAATATTTTCATACATTCAATACATAAAATATGTCGTCAGAATTCTTGAAATCGCCTTTAGTGGTCATTAGCTCCATCGTCCCTGTAGTACCGTTGTCTGTGCCAGCACTATAATTGCTTTTAGATTAAAGCAAATTATAATAATTGTGGAATGATTTCAGATCACAAAAATAGGATACATGATTCATAAAACAGCTGAGAATAACTTTCAAGTACTTGCAGGCTCAGCTAGTTTTCTGCTAGCRTCATATGCTCTTGGTAAGTTGCAGTAAAAACTCTTGTGAAAGTTACATATTATCAGTTTGTCATATTTTATTCTGTTGTGTTTGTCCAATAGGCAGTGTGTGCTGTGATATCATTTTGCATTTCAAAACAATTATTAGTTWAGCCATTTCTGTAACTGAAGGAAAYACAAATTAAAYCAGTGCATAACAAAGTGCAAATACTGCAACTCAATTTTTCTTATCATGCTTTTTTCTAGAAAAKCGTGTCATATTGCTTGTTTTGCTCTAATCAAGTTTTTCAAAATATTACAAAAACTCTCTAAAATRCTATATAGACCCCTGTATGTGATGTCAAAGCAACTTCATTTGGAGGATAAAACAAAAGAATTATGTTCTCGGGAACTAGAATMCATTGTTTTGTCCTCCAGTTGGAGCTGCATTTCAATGAACTGGAAAAGGGTCTAGTATATGTTTGACCTTGTTAATGCATGTATTTGAGTTGCAACACACAATCTTTATGGATTTTCATTTTTAGCTCACTTTATTTCACCTGTTCTTATTATACATGTTCTTCACGTATTTTCATAAAGAAGGAAAAAGGCATCCACATAGACTAGAGAGATGTAATATTTCTGTTTTAAAGTAGTCTTGATATATTCTCAGGTGCCGTGGGAGGAGTGTGTGCACTTGCTAATGTTCTTGGGGAAGCAGTTACACAGTTACATCAAATGTTTAATGATGGAAAGATGGAGGAAGCAAAATTACTGCAACACCGATTGATTCTGCCAAATACTGCAGTAAGACATTTGTGATTCCAATTATGAAATTATGAATTCAGTTTTTTGACCACAGAGAGTTAATAGTCGAGGCTAAAAGATTTAAATGACCTAACACAATGAAATAAAACCAAGAACGGAAAGAAAACAAAAATAAACAAACACTCACACACTTACAAACATACATCTGAGGCGTATTGTACAAAACATATGGGAGTACCCCTCCCACACTAAGATGGTTTGTTATATTTAGTAAGAAACTTTTTTTATAATACATTCAGGTTACGAAGACATTTGGTGTGCCAGGTTTGAAGGCGTCTATGGAAATGATGGGTTACTATGGAGGACCTACAAGATCGCCTCTTCTTAAACTAAAGGAAAACCAGTTATCTGAATTGAAACAAATATTTAGCGTTTTTGATGGTTTTCAAGGCTAACATCAATAAACGAGACTGCATGTTTTACAATGATTCGGTTTTTGAGAAATTTTCCAGTTTAATGGGATAACCAGAATTAATTATTCTAATGTTTTCTTACAATCAAGAGATGGATCTTGCAGGAAATGTTTTTTGGGTTGGAACCCCGCGTACCGGTGGCTACAACGCAGKTCTGTCTGTCTATAATTTATTTTCATATTGATCCATATCTTGGATAATATAAAAATTAGGTAACACCTAATAGCGGAGCTCCAGTAGCAATTATAGAAGCTGAAAATAATTATCTAGTACTACTATTTCAAAGGTAGATGTTCTGTTCTAGGGAATGTGAGCTACAACAGTTTTGTTGACATGCGAACAAATAAGTATTATAAAGAGTATGTTTACGAGAATTTAGTTCGTACTATTATATTGACTTCGGTAGATTTTGTTCCGTTGGATGAAGTTTAAAATTATAATTAAAAGTAAACTGAAAGCTTCTCGGCAAAAAGTAGTCTACACAAGCTTTAATACAATAATCAACATTGTTTCAATAATCGATGTTTGAACCCGGACTACTCGAACTTCACATATCACAGAAAACTGTATGCAAAAATATATTTTTTACCTTCATTATCGAACTTCCGATAAATTATCGTTCAAAGATCATCTTCAACAGAGCCATACTTGTTTCAAGCATAGGTTTCATCAATTTATTAAGTCATTCAAGACTGTAGATTCTTTGTTTTATTCTCTCTCAATCTAACTGCTAGCATGGTTTTGGTTTCGAAATGTCCACACTTTTAGTCGACAAAAGAACTTCGCATAGATCCCTGCTTTTTCCCATATTGGTCCATATTATTGAAGTATTTCCAATAAAGTATCATCTCTTTTTGTTGTCGAAATATCAAAGTAAAATCCTTATTTCTAATATCACTTGGCCTAAATTGCTTTTCATCTTCGCAAATCGATTTCCCGGATGTGCGGACGCGTCGAAGTCATGACAAAATTGGCGGGAATATTTCTGTGCTGTTATTTCACTCTTCAGTGGATTTTTTCCTTGTTATTAATTGTTCTAATATTATCAATATGTAATATAAATGTTTAAGGAAAAAAATTCGATTTTTCAACAAATACTTGGCGCTTTGTTTCCTTTTCGAGCGGAGTATGGGTTTCCTGTGGTGGTACACGGAATCCAGGACGGAAGGACGGAAGGACGGACGGACGGAAGGAAACGTGCGTACGCGCGGGAACCCTGTGTCGGTCCATGGAAAATCGACTCGATGGTATTACCATTTTTTCTTAGCTATGGTGCTCCGCTCGCGCGGGCCTTCGGCCCGCGCGGGAGCTCCGCTATTATTGGAAAACATAGACTAATCAATCGTCAACAACGAGAGTATATAAAAAACTAAGGTTTTTACCAGTGKCCATTGCGCCATTGTATGGGACGAGAGGGCGTATTCTATTGACAGAAAACTTCGGTTCTAATTTAATTGATTCAATAAATAAATGTACTTTCTAATTGTGACTATGACGAAATACGTGAGAAAAACCTTAATTTACTTAGGTAGAAATAATAAAAGCAAACAACAAAAATGCGTTTTTTATGTCGTTTAATGGACAATATCACGTACAGCCACGCTAAGGCTAGTCTCCTCTCGCAGCCGTTAGGACGTTCGTTCCCAGGTCACTCCCCCCTAAGGGGAGTGACCTGGGAACGAACGCCCTAACGGCTGCGAGAGGAGACTACGCTAAGGCAGGGACCTGGAAACAGAAACTGCTAGAAATTTAATGAGGAATTTTATTAGTTTCAATCATAGGCCGCACAACTATTGCTTGAGAGAAGAACGATCCCGATATTCTTTTCATCTGAAATTTCAACACCACGGTATGACGTCATCGTAATTCCATGGAACGTTCAAGAGAAGAATCATGATACTTTTATAGGAGGAGCCGACGGTTTCCTGGGAAAATATATTTGTTCTTATGTCCCAGCCAGCTGTAAGTGACAACCGGTTGCCATCGAGAAATTCAGGAAAAAAGAACTCTCCAGGGAAGGAATACTTTCTAATAATTTTTGCCAGGAAAATAAAAATTTCCTAACTAAAAAAAATCAAGAACAATGTGTGAACAAATGTTAACAATGGAACTCTGCGCCGTGCGCGCTCGTTTCACTGGAGGATACGTTTAAAGGGATAATTTTTCAAAATTGATTGTACAACAAAAGAAATTAAACAAAGAAAGAAAAAGAAGAACAAAATCCTAAATTGACAGAAACAAAAATCAGCATAGCGTGTTGATGTCATGCAATGGCCTTAGTTGGCAAGGTCTTCAGTCTCATTTTCACTTCCAAGGATAAGTGTATGAATTCAAATGGGTTTTTATTATTGTTTTATTAAATACACCTTCAGTGTTATTTAAGATTGTGAAATTTGAAATAACCATCTATATAATGTGCATTTTACCAAACAGAAAGTGGCCCACGCTCTCCTAACAAATCCAACATAATTTTTTTCACTCGTGCCCCCCCCCCCCCATTCTTTGAGAAATTCAAACATGCCCCCTTGATGTTTCCCTCCCATCCCCCATATGAATTATGACCGGTCACTTTTTACTCATCCGTGTTCTGCTACATGTGTATTTCAATCGATTCTTAATTAACATGTTTCCCTGCTTTATGGCTGCTTTATTTCCCTTGCACTTTTTTGCAAAACAGTGTATTTGTTTAGTTTTACGGCTTAATCGACTATTTTTTCCCGGCCAGTGACAACTCTAGCAATAATTTGTTTTCTCTTTCTCTCTCGAATGCGTCTCTGGTTAAGAAAAAGAAATAATAAAAAATGAAAAGAAAGTCAAACTGAAACAAAACAAAATTCCGTCGAAAATGGAGCGATGTTCGAAGCAGCTCACACACATGCAGACGCACACTGAGAGGAAAAAGGAAACTGAGACTAAGCAGACTACGAAATCCGCTCTAAAATCCTACGACTTGTAGTAGGAAAATCTTATACTACAAGTCGCGCGCGACAAATCGTACCGTGTAAATCAGCCTTAACATTCATTATTACTGTTCCCTGCTAGCAGAGGCTTACACGGTAAATTCTGTCTTTTACGTGACAGAATTTACCGTGTAAGCCTCTGCTAGCAGGGAATTATTACTGATATACAGTGTTTATTTTTGAATGCCTTTGAACAGAACAGATATGTTGGATCCGTGGTTTGAGTATAACTAAGATACTGAATAGGTTCACACAGTCACGTTTAATACATATCCAAAAGCACATGTAGTGAAATTACACGCATGATTGCACATAGATAACTACGTAATCATCCGGGATATTACAAGATATATTATACAGCGGATTTCGTATGAGTGGGATACCGTTACCGCACGGTTACCGCACAGTTGGCCTGCACAATTTTTGTGAGGAACCAATGGGGCACTAGAATTTGGTTACAGTACGATTTACGGTCACAGTACAGTACCGTCCGTTTCCCACTCATACGAAATCCGCTCTAAATTAGGTTTACGGAAAAATCTAGGTATAGGGAATGCATAGGGTATCTTTTTTAGCGATTTTATTGTGGAACAGGGTATCGATTTCAAAGAATTTTCTCTGGAACAGGGTCAGGGYTTAATTCCGGAATTATTGATGCAGGGTAAAAATTTACGGGTTAAGACTTCTCACACCCGGACGATCCCCCTCCCCCTCCACTGTAGCCGCTACGCAGGCTACGTAGCCCTAATCGCTTTTAGTATAAACATACTAATGGTCTATCACTCCTACTGCGCTGTGATTGGCTACTCTACTAATGGTCTAATTTGTGATAGACCAMTCGCGGGAAAATCAAAATAAATAAATTATAATTTATAAATTATTTTAAGGATATTTCAATTTGTTTTCATTATTTGACCGATTAGTATGTTTATACTAAAACAATTAGACCTCTCGGCCTCGCGGACTCGGCCTCATGRRCTATTAGCTCGTAGTCCACTCGACCGTTAAATAGACCTGTGTGTTCAGTTCAATTTAGACTCTTCCAAAGTCGGGAAGGGGACTGTGGAAGAGTCTAAATTCAATTACATTTATTCGCTATTCATGTAAAGTTCATAATTAWTGTAATTCTACGTGGGAATCCTTTTTATGCAAATGAATTTTTTGCWGTCTTTATGTCTATAAAATTGAGCG